TATAAATTACTTCGCGGTGACTTCTCTCCCCCCACATTCGTATCGCTGAAGGAATGAGATTTTTGTAGAACCAGAGACAGAGAGTGAGCATTCAATGGATCTTCGAAAGAAAAATCAAACGAAATCCGGACGCTCGAAACCAGAAGCCTAGGAGTTTGTAACGGTCTCCATGTCGTCGAGCGACCTTTCTTCGAGCATGAATCGGTTTCCGTAAATTCCTGGCCTGAAGCCTACGGCAAGACGGAGCAAGGTTGTGTGAATTCATTTTCGGAGCCCGCACCCCACTGCTCAATCGCCGGGTTGTCGCTCGAACTCGGGTTGCTGTCGAACACGAGGGATAAGCTGCAACGATCAGCCTTCACTTGTGTATCGCTTGACATACCCACGGTCGAATCTCGTCTTCCAAGCTCTCGTCCCTCGCTCGCCCTGAGCCGTATCGCTTTATAAAGATTGATCGTATGCATTACCCATTCACTCATCAATTCCATTCATCCTCGTCTTGCGATCCATCGATCGATCAATTGATCGATCTGTCCCTGCGCCCGCGCGACTGTCACTCTCTGCGTTGAGTTGGCAAGCGAGAACAAGAGCAGGAGGGAGGAAGACACACGTATGATGGATCGCTCTCCGGACAGACCGAGCACCTTTCGAGAACCAGCTGGGGCGGCTACGAACGACACGCAAGCAACGGCGCCACTCTGGGAGATGGAAGCGTCGACGAAGACTTCCATCGATATTTCGAATATAATGGAACATCGGCGGATTCATACAACAAGCCTCTCTCAAACGACCAAGTGCAACATGGTGCAGAGTGAGGCGGGGGGAGGAACGAGCCCGGGATCATACGTCGTCGGAGGTAATCGTCCTCCGACAGTGGCGGATGTCCGATTATTATTATTCGAGACGACATTTCTCCAAGGTGATTCTTCCCGAAGAAAGTTCGCGTTTTCGGCTGTTCGTTCCATGCCGAAGCCAGAAGGTAAAGCGTCGGGGGAGCGAAAGTTCAACCGGCGTTGGCTCAAGTGATCCATTTCTTCGGGCTCAGAAGGGCCCCTCGCTTGCGCGGAGATCAACCCGATCTCGGCATGTGTGTCATTCCATTCGTTGCCTTCGATCCGAGAGACCGTCTACCTGGCTTCGCAGCACGTTGCCGGGAGCCGGGAGCCGTCAATGGCCCAGCTCGCTGATTCTTCCGTCCTCGAACTCGATTCGCGGCATGGCGAGAAATTTCAGAATTCGCCATGAGCGAAGAATTCTGAAGAAAACCGACAGATGTAGGATATCGACAAGGTCCCGAATTCCCGACGGCATGCTCATTTGGAAAATTCGCCTTCATCGTTCTGGCTATCGTGTCTCGTTCCTAAATCCCAGTGGAATCTCTTCTCTCATTCTCGCCAAAGACGACGGCGACGATGCCGACGACGACGAATCGCAGGAATCCCCTCTACGCTTGTGGGAATCGTGACGGCGGAATGAAGAGAAACAATTAACACCATTCATCAAAGCGGAGGAGGACTCCGAGAAACGAGATCGGAGAGAATCCTGCAATCCCTTCCGCTAATGAGTGTGTACCCCGGGCTTTTCTGACTCTTCACGGGAGCTCGAGTTTTCACGAAACTCTTTTGAGAGTCCAAGTGATCGAGAAGAGAAGGGCTGCTCGCTCGTTCGATCGATCCGCGGACCGAGCCGGCGCGGTTTTGACGGACCTGACTGATTGACTATGGAGGTGGGTGGCCGATTGACTTGTTCATTAGAAATCTCCGTTCTTTCAACATCACCGTTCTCGAGAACGTCCATGTGAGAGACCACATGATCGCCCTGAATGAGCGATCTCTCCATGGGATACAGGGAGGTTGGGCGCGGGTTGACAGGTGTCAGAAAGGAAGGAAATATATTTTTTCAAAGTTTGTGGTATGAAGAACCTGAATACAAAATCAAACCAGTCACCCAGCAGCTTTGAGGGAGACCACTCTCTGCTGGAAAGAATTCCATACTAGTCATGAGTTCATGAGCCGTAGTGATCTTCGTGGTGTCCACGGTCGATGGTGTGATTCGTCCTCGTCGCGCTTCCGTGGTCCCGGTACATCGTTCTCGAGCATCCCTCGTGACAGAAGAAACGGCCCGAGTCAAAGCGAGAAGGAAATTTGGACGAGGAGGGGACCCTGCTCTCACAATAAGTTGTTTAATGAGATATGTGATGATTTCGTGAGTGACTTGGCGAGTGAGTAACATTGTGACTGGACTGCTGAACAACAATTACGCTAGCACAAGTGCGTGTTGATGAAGTTTCCACACGCACAGAACAGTGTTATAACATCACATGTGGAGTCAAGTCAAGATATAACTTGACGCTGTCGTCCCGTCCGATGGCATACAGAAAATCGATCTGATACGAGCGAGCGAAGAGAAGAAAATCGGAAATGTTTCATAATTTACTCGTTAGTCGAATGCTAGGGACCGTTCTCAAGATTAGTGCCACCGGCATCCCGAGCAAGATCCCTCATTCCGAGAGAGAGAGAGAAGAAGTCTTGCATTCTGGAAATTACCCGGAGAACAAGCTAAAAGCCTAGAGAGAGAGCAAGCTGACAAGCAGTGAAAAATGACGATTTCCGAAGCGTGCTGCTCCACCATCTCCGTCATTAAGTCGAACCGCACCGTCGAAGATTTTTTTTATCAAGGAGCTTAGAATTGAATGGAGAATAAGGAGCATCGTGGAACAATAGGGACGCACTATGACGGCGAAAAGATACAAGAGAGAAAAGGAGAGAAGGATTTTAAAACGGGAAAAACGCCTGAAAAGCATCGTCTTGTCCCATGTTTCAGTGAAAAAAAAGGTCCATTAATCATTCGGCGGGCAGATACCGGCTCTCTGTCGGGAGCTCAATCGGACAAATCATTCTCTCGAGCGACTCCTTCGTATCGTGATGGATTAAGTCTTGATACCGAAGGATATCCATATCCGGAGTCGAGGACAGCCGGCAGTGCGTGTTCCGAGACTTCAGGGGTGATGGCCATCTCGCAGGTTTGATGCTCGGAGCCGAGAAACGTGACACTGCATATGGTCACGAAGGGTGTTTTGAACGGCGTCGTGTTTTCTAGGAGGGGTGCGAGCGACAATAAGCGGACGAAAAGGACTACACAAGCGAGACGGAAAGACAGAAAGAGATGCGTGTGAAGGAATGAGTGTGAATTTATTCATCGGAAGCGATAGTTTGAGCGCGGGGCCCTCCCCGACATCTGTCAGTGGTACCTTGATCAAGAACTCAAGCAACGCACGAGGCAAAGAAGGAAAGAAAGGCGAGGAACGATGACGGATTGGCCCCCTGAATCGGCCATCTCAGTCAGCGCTCAGCATCGAGTCGAGCAGTCATACGGCGCACGTCAAAGCTCAAATTCAGGCCCGTCAAGAGAATCGGCCCGAGAGAGTCCACGGTCAAGACGACGGGCCAAGCCACGGGGCAGACGCTCTCGCGGCTCAGTGTTCTGGCGCCCGAGGAATAGGTGCTTCTCGGCCCCCTCGGTCGCTCGCTCGTCCGCTCGGATGGTCGAATGACGGACTTCTCCGGTGATGGACTGCGGCTCGTCCGTCGAGTGCGGGATTGATGACGATCGACGAGCTAGCCGTCTAGCTAAGTCGCTACCCTATACGATCACCGTTCCCCGAAAATACTTTTTCCCCTCCGAGCATACACTCCAGCCCTCTCGCCCGCTCATGCTGGAGCGGGCACTCACTCACAACTTGGGCACACTCTCCCCGATCCCGGTCTTGCCAGCTTGGCACTTCTACTTGCCTATTTAGTGGCGGGCGTGACACCGAGTCATTCCCGAGCCTGAACACGCCCCGCTGTGTGGGCAGCAAAGACCAGGAGGAAAGACTAGGAGAGCGAAGCTTCAGACATTACGCAGAACATATTCGAGGCTGATGACGGCCCGATCTCCGTATTCAATCACGACGAAGGTGCGGTGCCACAACTCAAGATTTAATTGAAACTTCAAGCTGTTCCGATTTCCAGAATTTTTCGAAGTTCTGAGCTCCTCGCATCCATTCGCATGATTCGCACCTATCGGTCCGGCGATCGCGGAACACACGCCATCCACTTCTCCGCCATTTGAAGGAAGCGGGAGCGACCATATCGATGCACATCATCAGGGATCGAGATCGACGAATGATGGACGGTGCGAAAAAAATCTCTTACGGAGATCCCCGCCCCTCTCCGGACCTACGAGACCTTACGTGTCATTTTGCTCGAGCCCGGGGAACTTCACCGGGAAATTGTAGGAGAAAGTCTCGGAAGAGAAAGAGAAGCGAGGATATGGCGGAAAGTCATCGAATGGGTTGCGGAGATGCAGAGGCGAGAAACACGTTTTCAACGTGTCATCCCCGTCAGAATCAACAGCGGCACGACGGAGAACAAGAAGAAGGAGCTACAACAGCACGGGCCACCGGTATCGATCCTACCATGCAGGCAGTCAGTCAGTCAGTCAGTCAAGCACTCAGGCAGGCAGACAAGCAGCAGAGTTTTCCCCCTCATCGCTCGTCGTTGACTGACTGCCTGGTTGGTTCCTGCCGCTGGGAAGGATAGATTGGATGGCTAAATAAATCATTGGTGATTGGCACTCTGACAGCCGACAGCGAAGATGGATGGCTCGCCGCGGCGGCAGCATCAGCCGCTCTTTCTCCACGGCCGCCGCAGCCGCTGTAAAAGATGACAGAACCAGCCGCCACTCGACGACGACGACCGGAGCAGGCAGCCGAGTGAGCGAGCAAAGAGAAGAAAACGAAGAAGAACGAGGAGGATCCGCGAAATACACAACTTCTGGCTTTCAATAGGGTGCCCTCTCTCATTTTAACACCATGCATCGTACATGTTGCCCTCACCCAAAAAGCTAGTCTACTCTCATCCCTTCGCACTCTCCCATCGACCCTCACCTTTCGGGTGAGGGCGGGCTGGCTACGCTCGCAGCAAGCCAGGATCAGAGAGTCGCTGGCACACATCGTGGGTCTGACTGATGGACGTCGGTCGATCACCCGGATACTATCGATACTTCCCAACCAGCTGACCAAGTTCTCTCAGATTCACGATTTGTAATCTTTCTGACCATCTGGCTGAAATCTTGTGATTTTCCCGAAGAGCATTGACTTTGTCTGACATCTCCTACGCCCGCCAGTCTATCGGCCTCCTCCAATGACTGGTCGTTCGTGAGCGAGGCATCAACCTAGACGAATTCACTTGTGATTCTACGCCGTGGAATAGAAATTGTGTGTAGTGAGCGAACTCTGGACAAACTCCGCAATGTGTGCCCCAGTCTAAGGATAAATTCAACGCTTGGTGTAGTGTGGATATATCTAGTTTTTGCTCATCTGTGGATTTCTGTTTTGTGCTTGGTTTCATCGTAGATGTTCAAGTCGACATACGACAACATGTTGACTCCGAACCCGAATCAGTACTTGAGGCCCGACTATCTGTCTCCCTTGCCCACAACGGTAGGTTTCTCCGATCAACGACGACGCTCGGATCGGGATAGTAGTATAGTCGCGCGGTCTCCTTCGACTCAGAAAAGACATATCAAAATCGAGATTCCAACCGGAGTCGGGATCCGAGGAAGAAAAACTTGTCGGTAGCTCGAGGGTTGAGTCTCCAAAGATGGACGAGGGGAAAGAATCGGGACACCTTCCCGTATGGAACAAAGAATCAAGCTGATCGAAAGCGAATCCCAGACCCTAGGTTAACGATGCGTTTCTTGCTCTTTGCAGTTGGATGCGAAGAAGAGCCCTCTGGCGCTTCTGGCACAGACCTGTAGCAACATCGGCATGGACAGTCCCAACAATAAACCGATGCTTGCCGTCGACAAGTCGAAAAAGTCATCGAACGATAACCACAGCAACACTAGCATTTCGAAGAAAACGGATGCTTTCTCAAGTTTCGTAGGGTCGTCGAGTTCGTCGAGCTCGTCGCTCGACGACAACAAGCCAGCGTTCAAGCCTTACGATCTCAAGAAAAGCTCAACTTCACCGCGATCCGACGCGTCAACGAATAATGACGACAAGCGAAGCAGTCCCCTGAGTCAGAAGTCACCGCGGACGTCTCCGGCCGTCTCCGAGAAGAGTGACAAAGGCAAATCCACCCCTAGCAAAGGCGACACGCCAATATCGATCTCGTCGTCCACCAGCACAAGTGGTTCTACAGTCACGTCGGCAAGCACGACGCTCACGGGTCTGGGTTACCCAGGTCTCGTCGACCTTTCGAGGGATCATACCAAAGACAGTTTAGCTGCGTTGACCCTGGCGTATAAGGGCTTGAATCCGCTCGGAGCCGCGTCTCACCTTTCGGGTCATATGCCTCCGCTCGACTTCAAGGGACTACCTTATCCGGGCTTGTCACCGTACGCAGGCTACGCGAGAGTGAAAACGCCGTCCGGTGGAACCAGTCTCGTTCCGGTATGCCGCGACCCGTTCTGCACCAGCTGTCAGCTCTCGATGCAATCCGCTCAACTGGCCCCGTGTCCTTCTGGATGTAGTCAGTGCACCCATGAACGCGTGGTACCTCCCGCCATTCCGATGCTCCCCGGTCTTCATGGATCGACGGGGCTTTTCCCTACGCCTCTCGGTGCAAGACCGAACGTCTGCAGTTGGATGGTCGGCGATTCGTATTGTGGTAAACGCTTCAACTCGTCCGAGGAGTTATTGTCCCACTTGCGAACGCACACAACCCTGCCCGGTGACTTGCCCCCACCATTGCTCAGTCCACCAACTCTACCATTCAGCGCGGCGACAACCCCCCCATTGCCGCCTCCACCCCCCACGACGGTGTCTTCGGCCGCCGCTGCGGCTTCATTGAGACGTAGCTACCCCTCGCCGTCGATTAGTCCGATAAGCTCGTCCAGATATCATCCGTACAGTAAAAGCTCAACGATGACTTCGACGGCAACCACCACGACAATGACATCGACGCCACCAAGCATTCCGGGTTTTCCAGGATCGCCATTCGGAGCACTGCCACCCCACCCGAGCGCCCTTTCAATGTTCTACAATCCCTACGCCGCCCTCTACGGACAACGTCTCGGACCTCCAGTTCACCCGTGAGCGAGGGGGTCGAGCTCGACGCCTACGCTGCTATGATTTGTTGGTGATCGCATCGGGGACGCTCGTACGACAGCGATCGCCGGGGCCGTGGTCGAGATTACGAGTTGCGACCATCGGATGAACGATGATGGTCATTGAGCTCTCCGGAAGGAGGACCCGAGCGAACCCCTGAGCAACGACGCTCCCTCCACGTCACCAGCGCTAAAACCAAAGCATGTGATGATTTCAAACGCTAAAAACGCCTAATTTAGTCAGACAGGTGTCCTCTCTACGAGGCGGAGATCTTTTCGAGGCGCTGCCGTGAGGCGATGACCATCTCACACGGGTACGGGATCGACGTGCTGCCACAGACGAAGGGACAGGCAGTCACAGCGATCGCTGAGTGACTGACTGACCGGCTGATTGATTGACTGTTTATTTGATGGACAGTTGGTTTGGCTGCCCGAGAACGGTCGGGCATCAATGGAGGCTCAGAGAGAAGACGGTGTACCCTCAGCTCAAGAACATGCTTTCGGCGAAGAGTGAAGACGTTCATCAAAGCTCAATAGACGCTCGTGGACTTTTTGCTCAATCAAGCTTACTTCCTCTCTCTCTCTTGGTTTCTGGCCGGCAGCAGTCAGTCACACAGTCAGTCAATCAATCAGTCCGTCAAGCGGGCAGACAGACAGAAGGACAGTGAATCTGTCAGTCGGACCAATGAGCTACAGAAGCGGCGCTTAACATCGTTCCCGGTGCTCTAGAACAGAAATTTCTGGAGGGAAGAATTTCTGAAGCGTCGGCAATTGATCACAGCCATTTTCAAGTGATCGGGCAGCCGCGTGTGGATCGTGTAGTCGAAGAATCGTCGATTTGGAGTCCGGAGAATGCAATACGACGCGAAGTGACCACAATTATTATCCTCGGTGTCTCATGTTTACCTACATCCCGGCGAGGGGATGGGGTGAGTTCGGATAACGATGGACCTGGTAGCTCACCAATGGAACTGACGAAAAGTGGATGATCATGTTTGAGAAGAATTCTGAAGAGTCCTCTCTGGACCCACAACAAAAAGTCTGAGGGCTGCTCGGACAGCCATGTGTGAAATACAATGTACATACTAGGCCGGCACGGCAACAAAATGCTCCTGACTCTTGCATCCGGTGTCGAGGCTGTCAAGGTCTTCCGATGGGAATATATCGACTCCAGTCCACGATCTCTGGAAGGGATCTTATGAGCGGTTCCGGCAATGGGCATCCTGAGAGTAATCATCTGAACGTCTCGGTCGAGATCTCAACGATCTCAACGCCGCTTCTCCTAATCTTCTCACCCTGATGATGAAGACGGGAACGATTATCTGAAGATTACCCCAAAGATTCTATCAGTGATGGGTGATGGCTGTGGCTCCTTCCAGAGGAAGTGGATTTATGTAAAAGAATGGTGAATCGCGCAGTCCGAACACGCGTGAACAGAAAACCTTTATTTATGCAAGCTCCCATCCGGAGAAGAATGATCCAGCTGGGGAAATGCGGGGAGACTTGAGGGGGATTTGTTTGTAAATAAAAGCGAAATGTTGATATTTGATTACAATCTTGAATTCAATTCTTTGATCGAGTCGCTGCGCATCCTATTCTCATCTCCTTCCGAATGAGGAAAAAAAATTCATTCCCAATTCAGTTGTACGTATTTGCGCAATGCGGGGAAGAGGGGCAGACACTCTTCGTATGACCTCACTTTGAGCGAGAAATCCAAAGAATAATGGAGAATAATCGAGTTCATCATGCGAGCATTCTCTGTCTCAATTCGGTCGGGACCTCGCCTCTTCGGTGACTCTTGGAATGGTGCGACCGCTTTCCGCGACTTACACCACCGAGCCCGCCCCCGGGTGATGCTCAGTTTTCCGACATAGAATGCTCGTTGTTGACGGCTTACTGAGTGCTGAAGTGACGGAGATGAAGAGGCATCAGTGACGGAGATGAAGAGGAATAAAAAAATAGCCGTGCCAAAAGAGTGCATAAATCTTCTCTGCGGAGGTTCATCGACTCGTCTGGCGAAGCGTGTTTCCGTCTCTGATTCGGCGTTTATGGCTTCTTTTGCCTGAAGATCTCAAATCACCCCCAGCGAAACCATACCGGAAGCTCGGGGGAACGGAATAATGAGTGAAAACTGCAGAGAGAAACAATGACGAAGGTCGTCTGAGCCAAACCGCCTGAGCGCTCATTCTGACCGAGTAGAATATCGCTGACCAGAGTGTGACTGTGGGTGTTCGGCCTGAAGATGAGGTCCCATGGGGCACTCAAAACAACTGCCGGGCTAGAGCTGCGCTGAACTATCGATGAAGAAAGGGACCGGACACTTACCTTGACTTCGCTCGGGGATGGGAACCATGAGTACGGAACATTCCAGGGACAAATAATTAGATGCAGAGCTCGTGTCTCCATTAGACTCGAGGCGGGGAGCAGACAAACCAGACTTAGAAGAAACAGGCAAAAAATCCTCGCCAGCAGAAATGTTTCTTGGGGGTTCCCGAGAAGAAAATCTAAATAAAATAATTAAAGTAATTTATCACTTCAGCAAGCGACTAAACTACGTGGGGATTAAGAATGAAAAACGCTTGTCGCTCAACTGACTGTTTTCCTGTTCGGGCAGACTATCCACCGCCTCGTCTGTGGCGCGTCTCACGGCTGGCTAAATCGAGTTTTCTGCTTGATGAAGACTAAATTCTGTTCGCTAGCCTCCTTTTCTACTTCAGAACTCCTCAAGGCTCACCAAACTGGGCAAGAAGCAGAGCATGAAGATCTCAAATCGCCAACGACCGCGAACCATGGGGTTCAGATTCTTGAATCTATTTCCTCATCGACTGATTATATTTGTTGTTCCTTTCATAACGATCTCGATTACTGCCATCGCAGCGTGTTCAGGCAAGCTCGAATGACGCTTCCGGATGATTTACGGGAGGATTTCCAGACCCACCAAAATATCTTTAGGACATGAGCCGCCGATTCCTAATACTCCCTAGATTGAGAGATGCATGAACAGGGGTCATGATTGTAACCATGAGCCACATATTGATGCGAATGATAAAGCCCGACAGCGGGCGAGAAGATGGACTGCTATTGGAATATTAGCCGAAGCAGCGGGAGCGTGTAACATGATCATGATAACCTGTAGACTTCTGATGTCACGTTTGACATTCCGAGGACACTCGTAATTGCTTGACGTCCCAGACAGCGAGATGAATGGACGAACAGACGAGTACGGCGTGCGCAGACATTGCGAGAGGGACCGACCTCAGGATATCAATATGGTTTGTATCTTAAAGTCGAGTTACAGAATGACGACGTGATTCATGGGGCGGTGCATCAATTGATCATTTCTGATCATCGACCGCATGGAGTCTTCTACCGTAAGCACAGACATTATTCCGACAGAACTTCTGCGGAAACGATGTCGCCCAAAGCGACAATCGCCCACCTTAGCAATCGCTGAGGAGCGTTCATCGATAGAGGAAGTTGAGCTCCGTGTAAAAAATTTTGATTGGATCCGGACCTCGGTCTCCCACAAGGTTCCGAACATGCATAAGAAGACACGTAATCAACGCACATGTTAGGAATAGAATATACACGCAACGAAGCGGAGGACAATTTGCCACCTGCTACGCGAATGACAATGGATCGTTCCGCGTTAACGTCAGTGACGTGACGTGTTGTCCATTAGGACAGGAACGAATGGGCTAAACTCTAACTTAACCACCACCGTCACCGCTGGACTGGGCTTCTTTGCCATTGGAGCTTGCCCTGGAAGTTTTGAACAAGGTTGTCGTCGGCCGCGGTACAGGACAACTGGGCCAAAACCAACTGGGCCAAGAACCAACTGGGCCAAAAACCAACTGGGCAAGAAACCAACTGGGCAAAAAACCAACTGGGCCAAAAACCAACTGGGCCAAGAACAAATTGGGCCAAAGACCCAACAGACACGAACAGACACGATCGGAGACAATACCGAGCTCATATTGGCGACCATCGAGAGACGCCTTTAAGCTGTAAAGTGAGTTGAGGGGATGTCGCTCGCACGGCAGCTCGCGACTTGACTTGGTCGCACGAAGATCCGACGTCGATCTCTCCCCGCTTTTGTTTGTTGTTGAAGTGAGGAGAGTATTTGTGATCGACTGGTGGACCTCCCGATAAGGATAGACTCTAGTTCCATATTGTCAAGTATGTTCGATCGACTCATCTGGGCGCAACGTGGAATAGGATAAAGATCGTCGTCAGAAAATTAAATTGTATTCGCATAATCCCAGCTGCTTCCTTTCAAAATCAACTAGTCTCTTTCTTTTCTATAATTATCACCAGCTCGATGAGAAATGGAATCCACTTCGGGCGTTACGAGTCGGAGAGGTCAGGAGAAATTGGCCCACGATGGCCATCTCTTTGTCAAAGCATACGTCCTGAAGAGCGGCTTGCAGTCTTGGCGGTGTATGTACAAAACCGCACCGATTCCATGCAAGGCGAGAGCTTATACTCTGATGAGTACGCGGGAAGTTATCCGCACAAGTGGCATCCACTCTGATCCGCCAGATCCCTCAGGTGTAGAGGTCGCCAAAATCACCTCGACGATCAAACGACGTTGCGAAGAAACAAGTGAGGCACCTTCCTCCTTGATTAACACGGCTTTGGTCACAGCGACGACGGCTACGCTCGGTCGCATGAATCGACCCCAGTCGATTTCTCGTCTCATCAATCGTCATCGGAACGCCCGCTCTGCGGCTCCATCGAATCCGGACTCTCGCGGTTCCATTGTCATACCCGAAGCGTACAGGATCTATGAGAGCGAGCCGGGCGTTTCTGAAAATTTCCTGGTGGCGGACAGCGGCGTCGGAGATCCGAATCGGATCTTGGTATTCGGCAGAGAATCGTCGAGCTCCTGGATCGGCCTCGTCGACAAATTGTATGTCGATGGAACTTTCAGTCTCGCGCCGCCGCAATTCTCACAGGTCTCTATTGGTCGATTCCAGAATGATCGAATGTCTTATTGAAACAATTTCAAGCTCCTGATTATTGAAACTCGGATTCAATTGACAGGTGTTCGTAGTTCTGGCCGAGCGAGCTCAGTGCGTTGTGCCCGTCGCCTACGCGTTGCTCCCAGACAAAGCAGCCGAATCGTACACTCGGATGCTGAATCTCTTGAAAGAGGCTTGGCCGGCCCTCTGTCCCGCCAGCGTGGTCATGGACTACGAGCGGGCCATGATGATTGCGGTCAGGGCTTGCTTCCCGCCCGAAACACGCATTCAGGGATGCTTCTTCCACTTGGTGAAGAACATCAAACTACGCGTAGCTCAGGAAGGTCTTTGGAGTCGCTATACCAACGATGACGACTTCGCACTGAAAGCCCGAATGATAGCTGCTTTGGCATTCGTTCCGCCGTCAGAGTTAGATAATGCAGTCGCGGAGCTTTCGCCTGTATTGCCGGAAGAGTTGATTCCAGTTCTCAACTATTTCGAGGACATTTACATAGGGCGTATGAACCGGATCCGAGCCGACGGTACCGTAGACCGGAGAACACCGCAGTTCCCGGTCGAGATGTGGTCAGTATACCAGAGAACGCTCGACGGAGAAGCCCGCACGAATAACTATGCGGAGGCGGCACATCGCAGACTCCAGGTTGAATTCGGGATACAGCATCCGACAATTTGGAAGTTCATCGACGGGCTTAAGAAAGTCCAAAAAGGCCGTGACCTACAAGTCGAATCATTCGTAGCCGGCGGTGCTCCTCCAACAAAAAGGACCAAGTACGTTCGTGCAGACGAGCGAATCCTGGGAGTGGTCGAGCGTGCCGAACATCTACAGCATGTAGAATACCTCCGAGGCATAGCTCACAATTTCCTCATGGACGCGTAGTTTCGCTCCCCAGTCCTCAACAGCAAGCGAACTACCACCACGGTCGTTGGTAGTTTTCGCGCAATAAAACTGGGTCGCTGGGCGAGCGAATAACCGAAGGGCCGAGAAAGACAGAGCGCTCACATGATGGCACAAAAGAGTCAAGTGTCACAGCGATTGATTTAAAGAAGACAAAACATGAGTTTTTAATTTAGGTAAAGATCACCCCTTTTTCCGAATTCCTAATCATAGTTTCCGAACAGAGGGCATTTCCAATCGAAACCTATTTCCCGGTCCGATTCAGTCTTGCCCAGTTGGTTTTGGCCCAGTTGGTTTTGGCCCAGTTCGTTCATTTGCCCAGTTGGTTTTGGCCCAGTTGGCTCATTTGCCCAGTTGATTTTGGCCCAGTTGGTTTTTGGCCCAGTTGGTTTTTGGCCCAGTTGTCCGTGTCCGGTCGGCCGAGCCTACGACGCCGCTGGAGGGACCGAGCGCCTGCAGAACGATGCTGGTGGGTAAACCAATTTCTAATCGGGGCTCGATTTACGGCCTGCCAACGTATAAGATTCATGCGCGCGATGATGGACACATCTCTCTCCGCCATCAGGGAGTTACTACCGTGCCAACGAAGAGTTTCATCGATGTGCGTTTCGAGAACTATTTACGGTCTGTGTGACAGCTCAAACTTGCTTACTTGACTGCCTGCCGGCCTGCCTGCCTACTTGCCCGCCGGTCTGTAAATCCGTCTATCAGTCAGTCGGTCGGATGAGTGAGCGACCGAGCGGGCGGGCGGGCGGACTGACGGATGAACGGACGGGCGGGAGGGCTGCGCGTGGTAGGAATGGTGTTGGTGGAAAAGGCGACGAAGATCGTAATCGAATCGAGCAGCCGTGGGACAGTCGTTTTTCAGAAGTCACTTACTCCACTTGTATTCTCAGCGCGAATTCTGACGCTGGGCGGCGCCGCCGAAGCCATGCGCACTTCCACGGGACTAGGGTTCGCCGTGCTCGTTTTCGCGGCATGCGAGTCATTTGATATTTTTCGTCTGTTCAGTAATTTGATCTGATTTGGAATTCAGCATGACGCATCTGTCGCTTTCCGAAACTGATCATGAGCGAATTTTGACGAAGAGCATCACAGGCATAGTGACTGACTCATTCATGACTGTTTCCATCGATATCAGACATTCTCACTCCGAATCGGAGCTCAGGAATTAAACATTGTCTCACTCACTGGAAAAAAATGAATTGAAATAAAATTAAATTAAAAGTACACTTCGGCCCGGTCCAGTCCCGGATTCAGTTCAGCGGGAAGTCTCAAAATATATGAAAAGTATGCGAACGCCTCCTCGCCAAAGGCGATGAATCACAAGGAAGGAATCGCTGGTAGGATGCTTTGCTGATTCCGCGGAAAGATCCGTCGATTTCATTCACTTGACGCCCTCGTCGTCCGAATGAGTTTCTGACGAGAATTATTCTTGTGATCTGTGAACGTGACTTCCGATTCAAAAGATGGACGAGGCTCCGGGTCAGAGGAAATTCGTATCCCGAGCTCAAGAATTTATTCCTGTCAGTGATCAGTCTCAAAGCGTGGCGAATCCGTCACAGAGCGTTCTAGAGATTCGACGGAGCTCCGTGGAAGTTCGATGAGCCTCGACGGTCGTCGAGCGTGGCTGACGGCATCTCTTTTCTCATGGAATAGGGTATTGGATCAAGTGTGTACAAATCTAGAAAGTATGATACCTAATCCTGGTCGAGGAGGAATCGTTCGCAAGTCGAGTCTGTCAAAGCAAAAAAAGGGCTCAATAGACACCATGATGCTGAGCCTGGAATACCACTGGAGATCCGAGGAGAATATGATTTGCGAGGCGCAGTGTTTTGCGGGCGAGACTGCGATTTCGGGAGAATTTGTCCCGATCCGAAACGAGTGTTCCCAAGTCCCAAAGATCATTTCTCTCGGAACTCGAACTACCCGATTGAAGTGCTCGTTTGCAACCTCCGTGGGACTCGCTACATTCTCGAGAGCCGCAGTTCTGCCGCTCACACCATCGCTCGAATGTATTCTTGATAATGCGATTCAATTTAATGATGGCCAGCCGGAATGATGATAATATTATTGTGGCGTTCTCTCGCTTGCTTGCTCGGTCGCTCGCCCATTCGTTGGTCCGAGGAATGCGTTGTTCATTGTGATACCAGTGATGGTGGTGGTGGTGGGCAGTAACGGCAGCAGTAACAGCACGGCGGATGGCTCGTAGAAACGCCAGCAGCAGCCGCACGAGCGTCAGGCGGGCGGCCGAGACAGATTGAGAGAAAGAAGAAGCCTCGCTCGACGGCCCCTCCGACACGAGTGGCAATTTATCAAATTAAAGCATGAAGCGTTCATTAAAATATCATATTGTTCGAGCCTGGCAGACGAGCGAGCGACTGAGCTGGCCAACCGGCCAGTCAGTCAACTGGCCAGCCGGCTGAGCTGAGACAGCACTTAACGCTTCCAGCAGCCGCCACCGCCGCCGACACCAACACAACCACCGAAAATAAGATATCACACACACGAATAGACACGCTCGCACACGCCAAGCGCTCACGCACACATTCCGCGTACTGTGGTCCATAACGACGACGGACGAGTCTGTCTCTTGCTCTCGTCGTTCATCTCGAGCATGTCGACGACGCTCCGACAGCCGGACATCTCTCAATTCGCTAGTCTCTCATGCCTACGACTCGGCTGAGCGATTAGTGATTTCTGAACTTTTTTCCGGGAATCATTCGTGTTGCGGTATCCTGCGACGGATCGGAGCGAGGAATTGCCACCACTCTCTTTTTCGGCTGGTCAGCAGGATTTTTCCAGCTGGACATCGTGAACGGTCTCTCGTGACAGCACCGGATGAACAAGCCGTCAAATTGGACGCTCTCGAATTCGTCGAGAATGAGAAGCACACGGTCCTTTCGTTTGTTGTTCGGCGCACGGACTGACTAACTAACTAACGACAAAGTGACCGAAAGGCTGAGCGAATGAATGACGCACTGGCCGAGAATCAAATGTATACGCATGAAATTCGGCTACGTGGACTTTTGAGCTACCGTCATTTATCATGTTTTGCTCCAACATGAAAAACTCTGGAAGTTCTCCGGGCGAGCTTCACGAGTCATCAAGCCGAGCCTCTGCCCAGCTGACTCACACATGCGAAGGAACGAGTTTTTCTGAGTCTGAAGATCTCCTTCACGGATCCCGAGCGGTTCCCCCACCACCGAATCCTGAGGAGTCCATGAGGGATGGTCTCACAGTAAGCCTCGAGCGCTTGCTGTACAGAAACTCCAGTCACTCTCGAACGACCTGAACCGCGTCGCCAAGAGCAGCTGTAGACATTCTCAACACGGTCTTGCTCTTTACCTCTGATTAATCGTCCGAATGGTTTGTCTCCAGGACTGATTCCTCATCGACTCCTTGCTGTTCGTGATGAATTCTCTCTGGCTCGAAATGGCGGCATCGACGTCTCCGTTCACGCCACCCCTGTGGGAATCTATCGATAGTTCGAGGAAGTTCGAAAGGACTCGGCAGAGCCGTATTTCATCTAGCCGCCGGAGTCGCTTTGTTTTAATCTCGCTTTGGCAGAACGGCTCGTCCTTCTCTGTGTCGGGGTGGCGGACGGCCTACTCCGCTTCCTGAGTTAGGAGGAGCGCCCGTTCGTCGTCGATTCATTCCTGTTTCCATTTTTTGTCGCTAGATTCGTTTCGGTCCGCACTGATGTTCGCTGGCGGAGCACTGCTCACAATCGACCCGGTCGCTCCGGGCGTTGACAAACCTTTGATAATTTTTGCCGGCCGTTTCCTCGCTCGAACCGGAAACCGAAAAATTGATACCCAAGAAAAACGGACGCATTACCGAATCACATCCAGCATTCGAAGGAACAGTGACTGCTGCCGGACCGGCCGGGCGGCTAGCTGGCTGCCTGCCTGCTCGGCGAAAAAAATGGAGGGAGTGTCTCCTTGATGGACCAATTAAACGATAAAACACAACGTAAACAATGTTATACAAATTTTGTAGATTCTTTCAGTGTCTGAGTGATACGTCATGATCATACGTGGGCGTTTCGGATGAGCGACGGACGTCTGATTCGCTTCCGCGCTACTCAATTTTCATCTGCGAGCTCCTATGTCGGCGGGGAAAAACGTTCAGTGCGCAATTCGCGGACCAGCTAATCAACGATTTCCGAAGCATCTCACCCGATTGATGAGCAGACATGATGATCGATGCTCCTATGAATGGGATCTCGTCTTGTCCGACGCATCGGAATTTATCGTGGTGGTGAGAAGAAAAACTCATGCTCATTCGATGACGGAGTGAAAATCATAGGAATCATCACTCACGAACACAGTGCACGACTGGACACCAACACTGGCCATGAGTTCTGCTAATAATTGCTCCATGAATTCTTTGATGCGGTGATGGATGAAAGCTCAGATCGAGAGATCGGGACTCGCCGGCTTATGCAGATAGCCGAATAGATAGTTAGACTGATGGATGAATGGGCGGGATGAATGATGACGGCGTGCGGTGGCCATAGTCGCCGTGAGACAACCCACAATTGAAGTAAAACCAAATGACTCCCCCGATCATCAGATCGATCCGATGAAAGACAGCAAACCTGCCAACGAGTCAGCCGTCAGAAAAATGGCACCGACAACAGCAGCAACGACAACAAAAGCTGGAGTCGAAGTCAAACTCTGAATAAATCCTCCTGTCTCAGTCGTGTCTGTCGATCAAATCTGCCACCAGCGCACCGCCTGCCTGCCTGCCTCGAAGCGTAATGGGAATTTACGTCAAGTCCCGAAATGCTCGTTTTGCAACCGACTTCACCCGGCACTCACACATGAACACAGAGACACAGAGACGGACAGACGCCAGGAAAAAAAAGCGCAAAAACATACAATTGCCGTCAAACTGCTCTGGCGGAGTGAAGTAGCAGCTTCGCGAGAGAGAAAAATAGCTCGATTTTCCAAAACAAATTTATTTTTGAAAGTTTT